ATTTTCAAATTTGTAACTCCCAATTAATTATTTGGGAGTTACATAAAATGACAAATTACTTAAATAATATTGTATTTAATATATGAGTTACATTTGAACCAAATAAAAAGATGGAATATGATTGGTTGAGCTTGGTTAACATAGTTAACATAAAAAGATTGGTTAGTATTTGAACCAAGCGCTCTCTCTTTCTCTCTATCTCTCTCTCTATATATATATATATATATATATATTCCATGAGGGTGGAAAATTTTCAAAGTTTAAAACCAAATTTTCAAAATACACCCATCAACTTCCAAACAAATTTAAAAAGAACCCCAAACTTTCCAACAATAACTAATCCGGTTATAACAATATCCTCCCCTCAATGGAATTTCGTTCCGAAATTCAATCAGTCAAACAAATGAGGATATTTTGTTCTCATATCAGACTCCAATTCTCAGGTAGCCTCTTACCCTTTATGATACCATCACTGAACTTTTACCAAACGAATCTCTTTCTTTCTCAAACTTTAATTTTATGATCAGTGACAACTTCTAGGGTTTCAACCATAACTTTTCATCTACTTGGATTTCAGGTAGAGGTACGACTATTCGGATCAGCTAAACACTTTTGCAGATACAAAACATAGTGTTATTCATAACACTAAGCTCAACTGGTAGTTTTAATCGATATGCTACCCGATCCACCCGATTGTTGATCTTAAACGGCTTAGTTTACCCCTTTTCTAAAACGAACGATCCCTTTCCATGGTGAAACTTTCAACATTACTCTATCCCTTACTTGGAACTCAATTGGTTTACGACGTTTATCGGCATAACTTTTCTGTCGATCCTGAGCTGTCTTTATTCGTTCATGAATCTGATCTATCTTTTCTGTTGTTTTTAACTGAACGATTTTTGAACCGGCTAATTGTTTTTCTCCCACTTCATTCCAACACAATGGCGTTTGACATTTTCTGTCGTATAAGACTTCATAAGGCGTTGTCTGTATACTGGAATGATAACTGTCAATGCAAGCAAATTCAATTAAAAGTAAATGATTTTCCCACAAACTTCCAAAATCGCTAATACATGCACACAACATATCTTCAAGAGTTTTTATTGTTCGCTCACTCTCTCTGTCAGTTTGTGGATGATAAGTCAGACTTAATCTTATTTGAGATCTTTTTTTTAAAGCTCTCCCAAAATCTTGAAGTAAATCGACTGTCCCTATCTGATATAATCGATAATGGAACACCGTGTCAAGTTACAACTTTATCGTTATTTATCTTTGCTAATATTTCCAATGAATACGTTTCATTAATTGGTAGGAAATGTGCAGATTTCATTAATCTTGTCAGAGGCGTTGCGATACGAGAAAAGTCTTGTGTAAACTTTCTACAATCTTCGGTCAAACCCAATTTTTTTTATTTTCGTTGGTGTTCGTGGTGCTTCCCATTTTCCAGTGGCTTCAATTGTAACTGGATCTACTTTAACACCTACTTCTGAAACCACATGTCCTAGGAACTAGATCTTCCTAAACCAAAATTTACATTTTGAGTTCAAATTTTCCTTTTTCAATAGTTCCAAGATTAAACGAAGATGATCTACATGTTCCACTTCTGACCGGGAGTATATAAGAATATCATCGATAAAAACAATAACAAATTTATCGAGATATTGATTACATAATATGTTCATCAAATCCATAAACGTTGCTGGTGCATTTGTCAAACCAAAAGGGCATTACTAGAAAATCATGGTGCCCATATCTGGTACCAGTTTGGTCAACCGGCTGTAGAAGCTTTTACTCGTGAGGGTGCTCTTGGCCCAGTGAATATCGCCTATTCTGGTGTTTATCAGTGGTGGTATACAATCGTTTACGAATTAATGAAGATCTTGATACTGTAGCTCTTTTTCTATTATTTATTTCTGCCATATCTTTAATAGCGGGTTAGTTACAACTACAATCGAATGGAACCCAAGTGTTTCATGGTTCAAAAATGCAGAATCTTGCCTCAGTCATCATTTATCAGGACTCTTCGGCATAAGTTCCTTGGCTTAAACAGGGAATTTAGTACATATCGCTATTCCTGTATCTAGAGCGGAAAGCAGTTTTGGCCACATCTTCTTCTCTAACTTTTAATTATTGGTAACCCTACAGTAAATCAATCTTTGAAAAGTAACTGATCCCAACCAATTGATCAAACAAGTCATCTATTATTGGCAGAGGGTATTTGTTCTTTATAGTCAATTTATTCAATTCACGATATCTATACACATTCTCATCGACCCATCTTTTTTCTTTACGAATAAAATAGGAACACTCCACGGGGACGTACTGGGTATAATAAAACATTTATCAGGTAACTCTTTAAACTTTATCATTAATTCCTTTAGTTCTGATGGAGTCAACCGATATGGTGCACGAGCAACTGGTACAACTCCAGGTATTAAATCAATCCGAAATTCTATTGATCGGTCTAAGGGTAGACTGGTTAAGTTGTTTGGAAATATTTTTGGATAATCACTAACCACTGGTATTGTCTTCATATTACTATTTTCTCTCTCAGTATCAATCACAAAGGCTAGAAAACTTTGACATCCTTTCCGTACACACTTTCGAGCTTTTAAAACAGAAATCAAACTAGTGTTACGGTCCCGACGATCACGGTATCCGAACTGGTCCCTTTCCAGGAAGATCAATATGAATCATCTTTTTGTTGCACACTGTGATTTCTTGACAACCGATCCATACGCACCACTACATCAAATTATCTTAAGGGTATAGGAAACAATTGAATCGTACCTACACACCCCTCAACTTCAATTTGACAGTCATTAAAGACTTTAGTGACATAAATCTGACTATCATTAGCGGTATCTACTACTAAAGCATAGTCTAGAGATACAAGTTCCATATATAGACAACCAACAAATGAGGGTGACACAAAAGAGTAATTTGCAATAGAATCAAATAACACCTTGGCATATCCGAAGTTTCCTCAGCTTCTCCCTTTGACATTTGAAAGGCTCGCCCCTTCACTTTCTCTGGTTCACTCCTTCTCATACCTCCACAATTACTCTGACTCTTTAAGAGATAAGACCATTCAGACTGTTTGTTTTTTTTTTAATAGTTTTTTAGAGGCATTTAAGTCTTATTGTGCTCTTATCTGGTAAGAGGTAAACCAACTTTATTTTTCTCTTTTTATTCTTCAAACCATCGACAATGGCGTTTCTCAATCGATTATCATTTCTCTCAATCAATCCTACCGTATCAATCATCACGTCTTTCAATTGAAATTTTTTAATAGAATTTAAATGTATTAAATACGTTAATAACATATTTTTGTTTAAATGAATGCAAATTATATATAATTTAGATGTAAATTTCGTAACGATGATGAATAAATATGTGATTTATTTATAAATTCAACAGTATAACTTTTTAATGGGTAAAATAGATGATTTAAACAAATTTAGGCATTTATCAGTTTAAAAAAACGAACAGTCTTATTGATCCAGACTTCAGACTTCAGAAGTGAAACTCAGCACCTCTTAAAAAACAAACATCACCTTAATTTAGAACAATTATTACTTTATTATTTTCTTAACTTAAGAGGCATACTGATTATTTAAATTAATCTTAATTTAGAACAGTTATTACATTATTAATAAAAAAAACCCAAATAAATTTGGTGAGGATGGACAAAGATTATATAGTTCATGATATTTAAAAGAAGAGAAAAATCTAAAAAACTTCAATGGATTTTTTGGACAATTTTTTGGAACAAATAATTTCTTGGACATTTCAAAACCTGGTAAAAAACTCCTTCAGATTTCTAAAAAATGTTAGATATATTCTTATGACTTATACAACTGGTTAATGTGGTAAAATAATTGAAGAAGTCTGAAAAATAGCCAATGAACTTTCATATGTTTAACGATTAAGTCCCTAACCATTTTTTTGAAAAAAAAAAGTAGTTACATTTACAAAAATGAAACAAATATACAAAAAAGTACTTACAATACAAAACAATATTTTATATTTATAAAAGATTATTAATGAAATTTGTTTAATAAAAAATAAAAATATATTCAGTATTTTTCAAATAAAAA